CAACACGTGGGTCATCTGCTGGGGGGTCTTTTATGGAAAACTTAAGTTATAAACGTGAAGAAAACCTATTAAACTCCACGTGACCAGTCCATTAGCCAGGTGTGAACCCACAACCGGTGTTCGGTGATTCTATTCGCTTGGCCACCGGCGGTCTCTGGAAAAATGGCCCGCAATGTTCACGTGATAGTGATAGAGTGGAAAAAAGCCAAGTTAGTTCAATTTTACATTGGTTGCCGATGATTTCCTGTAATGAGTCTATGTCTAGTCTAAAGAGTGACTCGATTTCTTGATAGAGACCTTTAGACTGAAAAGAATTCAGTTTTGTCAATTAACAGTAAGACATGATGAGGCTATGGGCATGGGAACACAATGATTTATCTACAGTAATTTGTTCATCCTGCTATCCCAGATCCTGTCTTATAAAGTGAGACATTTAAAAACTATGGACAAATAGAATGATTCATAATTTATTCTACCCAGTCACACAATATGATTTACAAACCATTTTACATCAAATGCCAACATTTTGAACAGAATAGTTTCATTAATCACAAAGTATTGTGTAATCCTCTTGTTAGTTTGAAGCAAAGAACGTAGCTTCAAACTAACAAGAGCTTAGTGTTGTTAATTATATGTTACATTAAAGACAGTATGTAGAGCTGCAGAGAACAATCGCAGGCCTTCTAGTGTGGCACACTTCTTTTACACAGTTGAAATTACAAAAATGGATTTTTTTTTTATCTTCTTAATTAAAAGTTTTAAAATACAGATACAGGGATCCATTCTAATACAGCCAATCCAGAACACGGCTCGGTCTTCTCTCTCGCTCGTCGGCCATTATTATGGTATTTGGATGTCAAAAATTGTAAGAAATTTACTCATCTGATCACACATTTCAATTAGACAAATTTGAATCACGACAGTTACGTGGCAGAGAAGTAAGATGATCTCTCCGGGGATCCGGGAAAGGGTTGGAAAGAAAACAGACAAAATTCACTACTAATTCCCAATACACAATATAAGATAAACATTCAAAATATCATTTGATATCTCCAGATATTATTCGTCAATACTATTTGAAGCCTGCAACATTTTATTCCAAATTTCTCCAGCTTTTGAGCGGTCCTCAAAATTGTCTTGTCTATTTTTCTCTTCACAATCCAGGTTACATTTTTGCATCTATTCTTGAACACACTAATAATATTAAACTATAAAATAATGATAAAAACGTTATCATCCTTATACTTTCAACCAAATTTACAGTTAATAATGGTGTAAGTGGTTTAACAATCATCATGATTAATTCTAGTATATATTTTTCTATAAATCAAGTATTATATCACTCAATTGCCTGAAAAAACTCTGTAATCTTCCTGTTTCATCTGAAAATATACTAGTAAATTGTACAGTATAGCATTGTTTCGAACATAATGGAGAATTGCCTAGACACTTATGCACACTAATAATTTGCCATCCACGAATATCAACCCTGCATAAATTATGAAATATGTGGAAATTATATCTAAGAAAATGAACTGGATTAAGAGTAAAGGATTGCAAATATAGAAAAAATAAGATTACAACAGCTTGAATAAGTTACAAGAACACTGAGAGGAAGGTCAGTGAAGGTTAGAAGAAAGTGAGGAAGAGGAAGAATGAAAGTTAGTTTAAAGAAAGTAAGAGAGAGGCTGTGAAGGAGGACATTACAGTTGAAGGGAGTGAGAAAGTGATAAGATAATATGGAGGAAACTTATTAAAAATAGGTAAAGTTTGTTGGAAGAATATGGAATTTTAATTAATAATTTAAGACAATTATTCCACGTAGCATTTTTATTATTTAACTATTTCTACATATAGCAATAACCATTAACAGAGATCATCTACACGTTTTACATCTGAGCAGAATTTTTAGAAATTCTACCATTTAAAATAATTTCTTTAACATAATGATTTGTGTAATAATGGAAGCAAATTTTTAAGAAATATATTAACTATTTTACTACATTTTACATAAATCATTTTCCTTTCTTTATAAACTAGAAATCAATATGTACTGTACAGTGCTTGTTAAAAAAAATTTGGAATTCATTTATGATTAATGACTCGTAATGAGGATAAAAGATAAGATTTTCTTTCTTTCTTTCTTTTTTTTTGAGTCTAGTTTAGTTAGATTGCACAACGTTACCTAATTTTGTAGTTGTAAATGTTCCTTCCAAGCAACGCTCCTCATTATAAAACTGGCAAATGCAAATGTGGTTGTGGTTTGAGTCCAGTTCCGTGCACGGAACTGGACTCAAACCACAACTGGACAAACAAGAACTTTAGTGTCGAGTTTGAGTTTATAATTTCAGAAGTTCTATAAAAAATACCACTACAGAAATTAAATGGAAGCTATCAAATTTAAGAAAATATTAATATTTAAAACAAATAAAAACAAGTTTCTTCAACAAGCACTGTAAAATTTCATCAATAATTAACTCTAAAAAATTTGCATGTGGATTAATTTATATATATATATATATAGATAATTTATCCATTTACATTTTCATTAACATTAAGCATGATAATGGTAAGTTTGAATTTATTTCTTTTCATAGAATTCTTTTTAACTGTGAGTACCATTAAAAAGAATTCTGCTTTTCAAACATCTTTTAATATTGCTAAAGATGTCTGAATTATATATATATATATATATACTTATATAAATGCCTGAGTTTGGAATTTGTATATTTTCATTTCATATCAAATTTTGTGATTCATTATGACAAATTTACATGAACTGTAAAGACAGATTAATTAAATTTTTAGAAATTTTCTTAATGATGTCAGTGATGTGGCTTTAAATTTAAGAATTAATTTTTTTTTTTTTGGTTTAATTCCAATCATGAAACAATGCACAAATTATATTCTTAGAAGTTAAAAAACTCAAAACATTTTTCATAAATTCATTTTTCGTTCCGATCTTTTACGTGCATTACGCAGTTTAATGATTCATATAGTTTAAGATGCGTAATGCACTTGTAAAAAATTTACGAAAGATGAAAGTTGTAAAATATTTAAGATTCTTTGCAGATTCTAAAAATATAGTTTGTCCATTATTTTATGATTCACATTCACTCTTTTTTAAAAACAATAAGTTTAAGAACATTTAAATCATCTGATATTCATTTTAAATTCTTTAATTGTGCATTACTTAATAAGTAAAGCAAATTTTTTAATACTTATATATTTTAATACTTTTAAAATGGAGAAAATGTCATTTAAAAATTGGAAAATCAAACTGTGGAACAATTTGTCATTCTTTTCATTAGTGAAAATACTTTTCTGAATCACCAATTAAGTTTTAATTGTTTGTTTGTATATGTTATCCAATATTATACAAATCCCAAATATTCACAAGCATGATAAAAATCGTTTGAAGTTTTATTTGAAGAGTCATTTCCTGGAAGAACTCTATTTTAAAAATCAAGTTAATATCAAACAATGCAATGATTAGAATATGTACAATGTGATGCTTAATTAGTGATTCATAAACCAAATATTTATTATATTCTTGTATTGTTTATTAATCACTAATTAAAAAAATCTCTCTTATTTTTTTAATGGTATCAGCCCAAAGATATTACTTAAATACTAAAGGCACTACTGTGTTATCTGTAGCAAATATCAGACATATAATTTCACATATCATTGCACGATCACAATTAGTGAAGCTCATACTACTTTGTTAATTCAAGAAAATGCATATCACAACAAATAACAACCAAACATTGCTACAAATGTGCTTACTCTTTTGTTTTTTTAAATATTTATCATCAATCGTTTCTGGTGGGCAAATATAAGTTCAGATACACGAGTGCGAGTTTCTATATACCAAAAATATTGCAAATGATTGATTGCATTGCTATAATTGCTACATGCTCTGTTTTGGTTATGAGACCCTAAATCGTTGTTTTCTCTATGCCATTCCCCAGAGATATGATGTAATATCGAAAGATGAATGAGAATACTGGAATGACATTCACTAAGTACAGTTACGTTAAATGAAATGATCTGCTACAATAGAGCATTTATACCTTTAAGAATAGTCTGTGTAATTATTCTGATATACATATATAGATATAATATTTAACTGATGTATATGCACTAATCTTTCAGATTAATACAAACTAGAAATATTTCTAAAAAAATGGAAAGATTAATAATTAGTTTTGAAGGAACTCTCTATTTTTATATACATTAAAGCATGTTTCGATCTGCAATGTCCAATTTGTACCAAAGTTTAAAATATTCTCTCGGAACAAATCAGTACAGTCAGTAACGTACGAATTTCTAAAAGTTTCTATTCTTCAATCTAAGTGAACATCACTTCAATTGTTTTCTGATGAATCAAAATTTGCATTGAGAATCATTGCCACGTAATTGATGCATATCAACAAAATCTATTTTACACCTAAACCTACATATTTCATCTTATATTATACAAAAGTTTTCATTTGCATTATTTTAATTTACATTTAAATACATTATATGCACATTATAAAAGTAAATCAGTTTTAAAATAGATCAAATAATGGAAGAAAACTCTTTCTACATATATTTATATACATACATACAACACTAAAACAGGAAGATTCTCATATTTAAAAAATTAACAATTATATTCCGAGTACTTTAAAAAATGGCATCTAATTATTATAAAAGCAATTATGAACATTACTAACCAGAAATTTTTTTTATCTTTTAGTTTATATAATAAAGTCCTTTGCTTGTTGTTTTTCTTTTAATCAGTAAAATAAATTGCTCAAATTATGATATACTGATATGTCTTAAGAGACAATAATTTATCAGGTTTACTGCTAAAATTATTCTTATGTATATCAAATCAATTTTCTGCTTTAACTTATTGGAAAGATTAATAATTGATAATAAATAATATTTCCACTGTTCACAACCTTGCAAGAGAAATTCAAAGAAAGACAAATTAAGATTGGACCCAAAGTATCAGATTAAATCATCATATGAAAGAAGACAACTAAAGTAAAGATTTAGAATATAAAATATTTAAATAATTTTGCATGATATGTATCCTACTAGGTATCAAAATAAGAATAAATTGGAAGCAAGTGCTACAGAATAAATTATATGGAAGCTTAGAGAATGTAAATGTGAGAAGTTTACAAAAATTATCGAAGACACCAAGGTGATTAAAAGCCAAAAGGCTAGTTATATATCACAGATCTGTAATTGCTTATGTTCTAAAATAAATCTTCGATTTACCTTTGATATTGTTAGTCATTCATAAAAATACAATACTGTCTTTGGAACAATCTGGAATATAGGAATGATTAACTAAGCTAAAAAATATACTAATGAAACTAACATGGAACAATTTATGATTGATTCTTGACTCTACTACGTCAAATGTTTTAAAAGATTTTAAATAGTACCAGTAGGATATTTTGCATAACTTAATAATTTGATATTGCCAATAAAAAATTCTTATTTTTGCATAGAAAGAAAAAAAACGAAATTTTTGATTAATTAGAAGTTCAAAAAGTATATACAAATTGCCACATATGCCCAAGAATATAATAATGTAAAAAGGATGATACAACATAAAATAAATGACAAAAAGCAATATAAAAGTCACTAAAAATCACTTTTGTTGGTTGAGACATTAATTTGTAATTATTGGAATTAGAATCACCCCGTATAGATTTATGAGGAAATTTTCCTGTTTTATAATATTCATCTAATAGATGTTCTTTTTCTACCCAACGATCATACAACCACTGTTTCATGGATTCCATATCTTCAGGCACATCATCTATAGGGTAGCATCGATAATGAAAGTAAGTGGTACACGAAGGACGGTATGAAGAGCATATGGTTGGGAGATCTAACGGTTTCCCTCCGTCCGGGTAGCCTATAGTTATATCAATCACCCATCGTAATGGTTCTTTTTGCTTCTTATCTGTAAACAAAATAGTTTTTAAATTATTTTTGCAATAAAACAGTAATTATAAATAAGACATTATTTTAAATTAAGAGATGCAAAATCTAAAATAAAATCAACTATCAGTTAATTAAACTTGAGACATTATTAGGATATTATTATAATTTATATTTAGAAATGTAAATATTAAATATAATTAAACTGAAACTGCACATAACAGAAAACATCAAAATATAGTTTATTCTCATTGTTATATGATCATTTCTAGATATAACCTATCATCTAAGTTTAAAATACACAAAGTTATTTAAACACCAACATAATCCAAGTAGAAAATTCTAGAAATTCTGCACTGTACTGAAAAATCATTATAGAAATAGATTAAAACACATAAGAATGCATAATATGTAACACAATATGTTAATTTCTGCAAAGAGGAATATTTTCTTAAAATATATATATTTCTGAAAAAATGTAAATAAAGAATATGTAAAGTAAGTTAAACCTCCCTGAAACTGGCAGTTAATTTATAGCATATACATAATACAGAAATAATACAATATCTGGAATCACTTTACTGAACTAAAATGTAATTTACTTTCTCACCACACCGGGTTGTATATACTTCAAATACACAACGATCTATAATTAACCAATAACCAGCGTGAAATTCTTCAAAACATCGGCGAACATTTTCGATTCCCCTCCCGGGATCTTCAGGCTTATTTTATATCTTCCGTTATAACTGGATCCTTTAATTCGAATTAAAGGATCCAGTTATAACGGAAGATATAAAATAAGCCTGAAGAAGATCCCAGGAGGGGAATCGAAAATGTTCGCCGATGTTTTGAAGAATTTCACGCTGGTTATTGGTTAATTATAGATCGTTGTGTATTTGAAAAACTAAAATGTATAACCAAAAACTAGTTTATACTTTTTATTTAAAAGAGTCCTTTTGTTTAGATAAATGCACTATCTTGTAAAGTTGTAAATAATCCCAAAAACCACATCCTTCAAGTTCTTTCAATTCTGCCATTATAAACTAGATAATAGCATTAGCATTTCTGTAATGGAAGTAAATATGACTACATAGATAGTGTAGTCATCATATATATTTTCAGGATTTGGTATGATAATGATAAATGTTATCAAGAAACTAAATGAAAATTTTCTTAATCTGGTTATTGTAATGTTATATGCTAATGAAATCCTAATGTTAATGCTAATGAATATACTTTATTAATTACTATTATATATTATATATTTTATTAATTACAATTACATTTATATGATATTATATTTTAATAATGCTACTAACTAAAAACTTAATAAATGTATGTATGTATGTATATATATATATATACTAGCAGACCCCGCCACGCCTTGTTGTGGCTCAAAATGTATCTATTATAAATGTATAACACTTCCCCCTAGGAGAAAATTTTTCGAAAAATTTCTTCTTAGTGTTGAAAAATTCTCTTGACGTACCCTATTAAAACGCAATCAAAAATGCAAAAACCGCATCTAAAATAGTATAATAGAAGCCAAGTTTTTCACAGTAAGCCTTAATCCTGTC